GAACACTTTAATTTTGAATTGTTATTTTCCTATCCTTTTTTGTTTTCACTTTTGTTCCTATTCTTTTAATTGTTCATGGCTAAATATGTGAATACTTTGCGAGGAAGATGACCACTTTTTAGGACCGGGCGCTTTTTAAAATATGTGAACGCTTTTCTAAAATTACATGAACATTTTTGGAAATGCATGTTGAATAAAAATTTGAAATACAAGAACATATTTGCCGTCAACGTGCTAGAGCACTCGCGGCCTCAGAGTGATTCCTCATTGTCTTGTTGCCCGACCTTGACCAGATCCACCCTCATTAACCACATCTACGCACTACTTGGCCTTCTAAGGCGTGTTTGGTTGGTCCATATACACTTTCTGGTCCGCATAGGATGAACTTTAAAACACCTCACAGCCAGGCCCACTAGGAACCTTCGAATCAGCAGTTTGTAACGAGTCAGGATCGGCCGAAGAAGGGGAGAGGAACGCGACGCTAAGCTCGTGCGACCACGGAGATGGCATGAGCTCGCGCGCGTCTCCGAAAAATCGGCTTGAGGATTTTGGGTTACCTCCCGCCGATCCGGTCGCCCTATATAGCCCTCTTCGCCTCACCGCTGAAGCTCCCGCCACCCTTCTCCCCCTTTCAATCTTTCCCTCTGACGCGCATCGACACCGACGAGCAGGTAAACGACGCTCCTTCTCCGATGGTCCACGGCGGCGGCGACTCATGTCCTCGTCTTCTCCGACATGTTCTATGTCTCCCTCGAGCTGTAGTGATGGCCTCTGTGAGTTCAATCGCCCCCTTCTTTGTACTCATTGTAGCTAGATCTGAGAGCATGTGGTAGGATTTGATGTTCAAGCATGTGGTAGGGTTTGATCTGTGAGCATCTTGTAGCATTGTACACTACCGATCTATGGGCTTGTGATGTTGTCGTAGTTATTGGTGGTGGATATATAGCATGCTAGGGTTGTATCCTAGTGTTGAACACAATGGATTGGTAGCTAGTTGTGATGGATTAGTCGAAGTCTAATGCTTGCTGACCTATGCTGCTCATATCGTGTTGTGTTGAGCTAGATGGTCTGGTAGTGCGTGTTATGCTTATTGTCAATGTGTGCTACAATTGTAGGACATGACCATGCAAACACAAGATCTTGGTCAAGCCATTGTCCTGCCCGAGAGTCAGTTCCCTCCGTCCTATATCGAGGACTCCCAGCCCCCTATCGAGGACCAGATGCCTCCTGAGTGAGATGTGTTTAAGGGTTCAGGCATGGGTCCTCCTTTTGTGCCTACAACATTTGTGCCCGACGTGCCAAATGTTGTTGTTGCTGCTACTGCACAAACAACGACCGCAAAAGCAAAGAAGGATGGTAGGGGGAACAACATGAAGTGGCATCCGTTCATATCCACGTTCGTACTTAACAAGATGTGTGAGCTAGTATCTAGTGGGGTTAGGACCGGTGTCGGTGTCAAAACCGGCGGATCTCGGGTAGGGGGTCCCAATCTGTGCGTCTTAGGCTGATGGTAACAGGAAGCAAGGGACACAATGTTTACCCAGGTTCGGGCCCTCTCGATGGAGGTAAAACCCTACTACCTGCTTGATTAATATTGAAGATATGTGTAATACAAGAGTAGATCTACCACGAGATCGTAGAGGCTAAACCCTAAGAGCTAGCCTATGATGGTATGATTGTAATTGTGATCGGCCTTCTAAGGACCATCCTCTCCGGTTTATATAGACACCGGAGAGCTAGGGTTTACATGGAGTCGGTTACAGCGAAGGAAATATAATATCCGGATCGCCAAGCATGTCTTCCACGCAAAGGAGAGTCACATCCGGACACGAGCCGAAGTCTTGAGTCTTGTATCTTGACGCTTCTATAGTCCGGACAATGTATATAGTCCGGCTGTCCGGATACCCCTTATCCAGGACTCCCTCAGTAGCCCCTGAACCAGGCTTCAATGACGACGAGTCCGGCGCGCAGTCTTGTCTTCGGCATTGCAAGGCGGGTTCCTTCTCCGAATACTCCAATGTATCCATTATGACAAACAGTGTCCGACATCTCATCAATGTGGTACTCCTCGGCTTTAGTGATTCAATAATGACCATTTCCACGTGTCGAGCGAATGCGAGGAGTCGAGGCATTTTCACATTTGCCACCCTCGATCCTTCGGGTGAGCCGTCTATTTGAAGAGACGGGGATTCCTAGATCCAAACCTCACTCTCCCTCCTCGAGCAAGCATCCAACAGAGCACCCAGAAAAAGCCATTCCAACATGGCCGGTCGTCGCAGCTCTTCTGCTCACTCCCCTTGCCCCAAGCCGGGGGACTGGGGAGAGTGTTCAGTTTCCCATAGCCGTTTGGTAAAGTTACAAACCCAAGGGCTCCTCCCGCTGCGTTCATGGTCCCTGTCCGAGCTGGAGTGGCCACCTATAACGGTGGAGAACAAGCGGAGAGATTTCCCAAACCGTCTCCAGAGGAGCGAATATGCTTAATTCCGCATCTATTAAGGGGCGTCAGGTTTCCTATTCATCCATTCCTTCGTGGGCTTCTGGAGTTCTACGGCCTCCAGTTGCACAACTTTACCCCAGCCTCCATACTACATATAGCTGGGTATGTCGCCCTTTTGAGATATTTCTAGGCTGCGAGGCTCACTTCGGATTGTGCAAGAAGTTCTTCTGCCTTGTCCCCCGCAACCAGGGAGAATCCCTATGTCAAGTGGGCGGGGCCGAGGTATGGCGTATCGCGGAGACCGGATACCTATCCGACACTCCCAAGAAGGCACCAGATAACTGGGCCTCAGAGTGGTTTTATATTGACGACGCTCCCCTTCCGGATCCAGTCCGGACAGGACTCCCCAAGTTCAGTAACACCCCGCCAAGGGCACATCTAAGCTGGCGCTCCTGAGGCCCTCAAGAAGAGGATTCCAGGGAAGTACATTTCCTGATGAGCAGGATAAAGTTACTGGCCAAATCCGGACTAACAATAGTCGAGGTTATGGCAATATGCATAATGCGGGGAGTGCAACCGCTTCAATATCGGAGCAATCCCATGTGGCACTACAACGGGACAGACGATGCCACCCGCTGTGGCCGTAAGGGTCCGGACTCCCCCACCGCTCTAGCAAGGATACTGTCCGACCTGTACAAGGGAGAAGAGGAAGACTTCCTCCATATCAAACCGCGGGACGGATTCTCCATGTACAGTCCCCCAAACTGGGTAAGTCATCATTTATTTTCTCGCTTCACTTATTGTGGCGTTCTTTGCTAAAGTTACCTGCATCGACATTCCCGAGCAGGAACTGAGGAGGGCCATAGAAGGAATCTCCAGCCCTTCCCCACAGCCAGAGGACCCCGAAAGGGCCCTGGATCCAGGACTCGAAGAAGACCCGGACGCGGCCGTGGATCTTATCGGCGGGACATTTTATCGGGCGAGCCGTGACGGCGCCTCGGTGGCTATTACTGCCAATTATCCCGGACTACTACCCTCGTCATGTGTAAGCCAAGCCGAAGACTCGATCCTCCGAGGAGGATTCTTTCCTGATGTCATGCCTTATCCCTGAAGCGTCATATTTTTGCAGAAGCGACGTCCGAAGCACAGAGCCGAGCCCCTAGGGACCCGTCAGCCATAGGCGTCCGGATTGGGTAGGCTCAAGAGGGAAGCGGTTAGGGCCGACACGCCTCTACAGAGGTAAGGAAGCAACCTGTAATGTAATTATTGTTATTTGAAGTATAACAGTGCCCTTTTACATCTTGGTAGGAAGAGGAGTATCCGGACTGTATTTGGAGATCCTGCCAACCACGCCTCCACTAATCGGGCTCCAGAACCAACTTTGAGAGAGGAGGCGGGCGTAGGGCTAATGCCGCATAGTCCTCCGACAGAGGACGCAAATATGCTCTCTGCCACAAATTCGGAAGTAGAGAGCGCCATGCATCACCGGCGTCGACGGACCGTGCTTCGCAGCAACATATTTTCCAAAGAGGCATTTAATGCTTTCAATTCGGGAGACGCATACATCCGAGCTGCACAAAGCGGACTTGCCCGGGCGACAGTCCAGTATACCAAAGATATACGGGTAAGAAAGTTTGATGAGTATGTATAGTAGTAGCCCCTGAGACTTGAAACAGTTGAAACAACAGTTTTAAGTATCAATTTATGCGCAGGTTCTTGTAGATAAGAATGAGCAATTGTCTCGGGA